ATCATCAATTGTCTCAGCCAATTGTTCACTGTTTTAGGTATGCCCACATACATACACACTGACCGAGGGTCTTCATTCATTTCTGCAGAGCTTACTAAGTTCCTACTAGAGAAAGGAGTGGCAACTAATCACACAACAGCCTACAACCCACAAACCAATGACCAAGTGGAGCGCCTTAACTTAACTTTTTGGAATATCATCTCACTCGCTCTATGAGCTACAAATCTGACACCTTCGTAGGGCGAGTTTGCTTTTCTTGACACGCTACATTCCATCCGTTCGTTGCTTTGTACTGCTACAAACTTTACTCCTCACGAACGTCTCTTTTTTTGCTCGACGGTCAACTCATGGAACTTCCCTTCCGTCCTGGTTGACGGTCCCTGGTCTAGTCTTACTCCAACGAATGGACAGTTCTTCAAAATACGAACCTTTGATGGAGGGAGTCTGCCTCATCAGCTGCAACCCTCATTACACTCGTGTACGGCTACTTAATCATAGAGAAGAAAATGTATCCGTCAGTCGGATGGCCCCTCGAGGCGATCTTCCCGTTTTACCACCTGAAACTCAGGAGTCACCAGATACCCCCCTAACCACTCAAACCGACAATACACCAACCCCAACACCAGAACTCTCAGAGAATGGCTACTCGTGCAACTTCGAATACACTTTTCTTCGTGCATCCTCCAATTCCAATACCCTAAGCCAGCAACAGAGAACACATCCTTACTATTTACGAAATAGGGAGGCTTAGTTTACGGATTTACCCTTGTAACACATTCTTCTAAATCTCTTCCATTTTCCGGCTGGGGTGTATGTTATATGCATACACTTGCCCCCTTGTAAATGTCACATAATCAACTCTTACCTTTCAGTTGATGTACCTTCGTTGTTAGACCAGTAAAGCGTATACTTCGTATACGGTAAAAGATGATTTCTATCAGCAACTTCACGAGCTCCTTCGTTACAGAAGAAGCACGGATACTGTGGTGTTGGCTGGCGATCTAAACGCCCAAGTCGGAAATTTGTCCTCTAATGAGCTTCATCTGGGCGGCCAACATGGTATAGGCTCCCGTAATGATAACGGTGTGATTGCTACAGCTGTGTGAAGATGCTCGATTCTTTCTCGCGAGCACTGACTTTCGACACAGCACCCGCAGAAGCGTGACTTGGCGGCCACCAGCCTCGGGCCAGCCGTGGATGTAAATCGATCATCTCGCGATCAGTTACCGCTGGAGAGACTGTGTCCAAAACTGTCGCTCGATTTGGAGCACGAGCGTGGACTGTGACCACGCACTTGTCTGCGGCGACCTCTGGGTGCGTTTCGGTGGACGTCCAAATCGTCGATGTGAACGGATTACCACCAGCAAGCTGGTGAAGCCAAGGGTTCTGAATTTGTATCAAAGTGCGCTGACATCTGGGCTGATTAAGCGCCCACTAAACACCGTCGAAGGTCACTGGCCGCATATTCGTCAAATGTTACTGTTAGCAGACACGCCTTCATGTGGCAAAACAAATTGCCAAACCGTACATTGGGTCTCTACACAGTCTCCGGAACTTATGAATGCTCGCTGACGTATTCCGGCTGGAAGCGAATACAGTGAGGCTCGCAAAAATCGCAGGCAAAACTACGGGCTAGCCTGAAGAAGGACCGCGAAATCTGGTGGTCTCATCGTGCCTCTGAGATGGAAACAGCCGCTGCCGTTGGTAATCATCGTAAGTTATTCCGTCTGATACGGGAAATGGGCAGCAGATCTGGTGTTAGCCAGACCATACGTGACGAGAGTGGACAGCCGATCCACAGCCTGTCAAAACGCTTAGAGCGTTGGGCCGAACACTTTGCAAGGCAATTTAACCAACCTGAGTTATCGCTTTCTTTTTCGGGCATTGAGCGCCCTTCTCCCTGGGCCGTCTCCTTGGATCCGCCCTCACGCACAGAAGTCGAACGTGAGATCAGGCTGTTGAAATTGCATAAGGCCGCAGGGGCAGATAGAATTCCCCCAGCCCTCTTCAAATTCGAGGGACCTGCTCTAATAGATGATTTACACGAGTTACTAGTGAAACTTTGGGAGCAGGAGACTGTCCTGACAGACTGGAACCGCTCCGTCATTGTATCAATTTTCAAGGGAAACTCCCGTTTGGAATGCAGCAATCATAGAGGGATCAGTCTGATTTCGATTGCCTCTAAATTGCTTGTTTCTCTCATTCTCCACAGACTGACTGGCACTCGCGAAAGCCAGATTCATGAAGAGCAAGCCGATTTTCGTCGAGGTCGGGGCTGCATCGACCACATCTTCACCTTGCGTCAATTGTTGGGGCACCGCCATGTTTATTGGCGACCCACCGTTGTCGTGTTTCTTGACATAAAAGGTGCCTTCGACTCAGTCGATCGACGTGCACTTTGGGACTGTCTGCTGAGGAAAGGTGTGCCTGATAAATATGTAAACATTATCAAAGCGCTGTACGCGCATAATTCGGGCAGAGTGAGGGTTTATGGCAAACTGTCGCCGCCCTTCAGTATCACCAGTGGTGTGAGACAAGGTTGCCTGCTGTCACCTTTCCTCTTTAACTTCGCTATTGAGGAAGTCATGAAACAGCGTTCGCTGGACACGACCTAGAAGGTGTGGAGCTACTTCCTGGTGAGCGACTTCTCGACTTGGAGTATGCAGACGATATTGCCCTAATCTATGACAACTCCCAAACATGTCAAGCAGCACTGGACCGATTAGTACTGGCTGTCTATCGTTTTGGGCTATGCTTTGCTCCATCGAAATGCAAAGTTCTTCTCCAAGATTGGCAAGGACCGAACCCTGCGCTAACACTTTGTGGTGATCTGCTAGAAGTCGTTCAGGAATTCAACTACCTGAGCAGCTATATTAGCGCCCGTCGGGTTGAAGATGAAGTTACGAACCGTATAGTAAAAGGTCGAGGTGCTTATGCTAATCTCCGCCACCTATGTCGCCGACGCGACATTACTCTCGCCCTGAAGGGCAGAGTTTATAACGCAACTGTCCGTTCAACCCTCTTATACGGTTGTGACACCTGGCCCATCAGTTCGGCTCGTCACGTTCGATCAGTGCTGCCTACGCAGCTTGGCTTAAATCTGATGGGAGCACCGCGTGAGCAACCAGAGTGTTGTGTGTCGCGTATTTGGTGCAGGAAGAGCGAGTGAACCGCTAAGCACCATTATATCACCCACCAGGCTCGGATGCATGGACCACGTGTTGCGCATGCCAGCATACCGACTTCCGCGTCGTGCATTGTTTGCGCGTTGTGGGTACGTTTTTGAAAGGGGAGAAGGGGAGGCCAAGCGATGACTTGGTCGAGTGAGGTGAAAATCCTCACTTTGAGGTTGGCGTCGGTTGGTGCATCCCGACTGCCTGACTGGGGTCCTAATGACGGTGAACACATTTGGTTGGACACACTTGCTAATATGGCTTGGAGTCGGCCCCAATGGCGTTTATGTTGTGAGTTCCTTTGTCCACCCCTCCTCCTGCTTAGCATCCTCCTTCAATCACGATCTCACTCGTTAGGCATAATATAATTCCATTTTTACTGTTCGATAGCCAGCGGTTATCTCTCCGGGACGATGTCCATCCGTTACTGGGGACTCAGCAGGCGTGCCACTGTATGTTTTCCTTCTCATGTCTTTTGTTTTGCAGCACAATAGCTGAGGTGTTTTCCATCTGCTGCTAACGTGTATTTAAAAATACTTCCTACTCTGTTTTATTCCGTCTGTTGTGCATTAAAGGTCCTGTGTGCCCTTAGGGCTAGTAGCACCAAACAATCGTCACAGTGTGTTTGGGAGGGAAACAAATGCCGAGTGTATTTATGCAAGGTGCAAAACAAACAGATGGCGCGATTATCTAAAAGCGAAATCCAAATATCCATTTTGTGAATCGAAATGGTAATTTCCCCGCTTACACTCCGCTCCAAATCCAAAGGATTTTCCTCGCATTGACCCTCCATTAGTTTCTCCATCCGGCTCGCCCTAACCGCGCTCCGTCCACTATGGGAGAGTATAGGGTTTACAACGTTACGCCTGCTTCTCCCACTTCAGCCTGTGGAGCTCACAGTGGTTCTCCCTGGAGCAGCCGATCTGAAGTTTTTGCGTGTCACTCGAACCCCAAGTGAATTTGTCACTTACAATCTGTGGCCGCCTTCAGGCGATTTCTTGCCGCGTGCTGTAGTCATACTAACTAGCTGAACTAGACTCCTATTGTCCCTTGGATCAGGTCACTGAAACGTATCAGCTGTAGACCGCAGTGCGGTAGCGAAGCGTCAGTACTGCGTACCGGAGTACTGCTGATGCCTTGCATTGACATGGCTGCCGCAAGCGAATCTACTCAGGTTGGGACACGCAGACCGACTTAATAATGCGGATTTTTCGGGTCAAGTGCCTGAACACCTAGACTGATCCCCGTCAGACAACCGACCGGTAAATTAGTGCTTCAGAAATTTGGATTGCAGTCCATAGCTCACCGGTTTCAGCTCGCCTGTGGTTTATGATGATTGCGTGGCAGCGAAGCGCCAATGTGTGCCGGCGTACTGGGGAAACTTTGCTTTCTTCATTTTTCTTTGCCGTATCAACCTACGGGCGACGTCAGTTCCCTTCCTTCAGGTTCTCGGAATTTACGTGCGCTTTATTCCTGACGCACACATGCAAACTTGTAACGTCATGATTTGCCCGAGGCTAGTGGATGATGATTCAGTGTACGAGACCGACACTTAGTATTTTGTCGGATCTCATCGTGCTTTGCTTCACTGGGTCTATCGCTAACAGTTATGCTCTCTCTGTTTCCATCAGTCTTGACTGTATTTCGTTACGATTTCCGCTACACTTTTACAATTCTATGAAGTTGCTCCACTTCTCCACTGTTACATCACGCCATGTTATTCAAATTTATTTAATGGACGCTTCAAAGCAAACTATCAGTTGTTCATCTTTGTCTCACTTTGTGTTCACTGCATACCGTGTTTCTAGTTTACCTGATGTAAATCAGTACTGTGATTTTTCCTTACAGCTTTTTTCTATCCATGACCAGTTCTGTATCCAAAAATGAATACTTAAAGCGGTATCTAGAACCAAAAAAGGGTAGAAATCGAAAGTTCGAGGACGTGACCGTTAAGTATATCTCGTAAGTCTTGTTGCATCTTTACATTTACCACATATTTGTATCTTTATGCTTAAACTACGGCTGGATCGCCTGACGATATGCCATGTCCACTCACTTTTCTCTTGGGCACTAGTAGCTGGCGTTAGTTGTCACCTGCATATTACTCGGGATTCGTTTGGACAATTTAACGCTGATAACATGTCACCACGTATTCTATCATTGACACATACTTTCATCTCAATTGATGCCGGAAATTTTGTTTTGCTAGGAAGATCTTGTAGCCCACGTATGGGGGGCCAGATTTTTTGCGGTTGTGTCAGTAATGCCTGCACTATTTGCAAGTTCGGTTTCTCCGGAGAGCCTAGTTTCAAGCTGTCATGAATGTTTTATTATATAAATCCGTTTCATCGTTTAAATGAGCTCATAGGCACTGGTACAAGCTCGCAAGGCTGGATCTGAGGCGGATAGTCCACTCTCTGTTCTTTGAGTAGTGAACTACTAAAACCATTTGTCCGAGGCAGTGGTCCAGGCAAAATCGTTGTCGGTATTCAAGAAGTTCTTAGACGTCCACTTTGCGGATTATAGATTTCAAGATAGCATCGTACCTGAATAAGATGTTGCACGACTGAAACCTGTTGAAAACGCGCAACAATCTATGACTTTATTTCGTATGAGTATCCGGCCATATTTCAGTGGAGAAACGCGGATTATTATCTACTCGCTGCTTACTTTCAGTATTCAAGCTTATTTCGCTCCGCTGCGACCTTTCAGTCGACTTATGCTCTTTTGAGGCTACTTACCCCTTCGAGTTGTCCGTGGCCACTTTTACTTTCCGAAACCAACTTTTGTGTTGCTGCTCTTTCGCCTCATCGTTTTACTGCCCATCCCATTTAAGATGTATTACTTTGAACCCTAAGTGTTTTGTCATATCTGCAATCTCGCGAAAAGGCACTTATGATGTTCGATGATCATTTTCTCGCAGTCTTTCTTTGGGTCACTTACCTTGCGATCCGAATAATCGATCACCTGATATTGAGGTCCACCACGATAAGTAAGGCACACACTCGGATCGTGGTACAGCAATTTAGGGGTTGGCTTGTAATTCCACAGGCCACCGGTTCGAGTCACCTAGGTGCGGATGGCCTCGGAGGTTTCCTAGCCTACACACTACCTCTGATCATCCCCTGACAGCAAAGCGTTAGTATGAGGTCCAGATACACTGCTGATAAGCTCAACTTTATACGCACTCTAATCGCGCGAGGTACTAAAATTGACGATTTCCAAGAGGCATGGCGCGTCGAATTAAGCCTCTGTCTTGAAACTGGCAGCCAGTGGTCTAAGTCGGTGGCCACCTAGCTCAAATCCAAGAAACTATTCTCTTCACCAATCACGCTAATCTGTCTTCTGAATACAGAATCAGTCTGAGTTGTGAGCACGTAGCCAATCCCTTTCCAACGACATGCAAGTACGACAGCTGCTTCCAGCTAGTGGTGAGTGCTACCACGTACTCCAAATCCGCTTTGCCTATCGACTGCCCACTTTGTCTGAACTTTTCCTCAACTCCAAAACTTCCATGTTCTTATAGTCTCACCCATTACCATTACCATATCTCTTATCCCAGTGGTGATTTACCGGAAACCTTGGATGCATTCTACAACGATCAGTCGGAGGCTTTTCCATTCTCTGCTGATCATGAGGAGGCTCCCACGGTGGTTCGAAAGACTACTCTATCCAAAGCTGAAAAAGGAGATAAATCGAAGGAACTGAGTGACAAAAAGAAGGAAGCGGAGATTCAAGCCAGATATGATGTATGGAATCGCGGGTACGTATTTTCCATCTGTTTTTATGTCTTCTTGCTTTAGCATCAAAACCCTGGAAGAAACTTACGCTAAACTAAAAGAACAGCAGTATGAAAGTTCGAAGCCATTGGCTCGCTATGCTGATGATGCGGATTTGACGGAGCACTTAAAATCGAAACTCCATGCGGATGATCCAATGGCTGAGTATTTTGCAAAAAAGAAGAAAAAACATGAAAAGCCAAAGAAGAAGAAGAAGAAAGAGCACGAAAAGCACCCCAAACCAGAAGAGGGTATGTTTTACTGCACCGTGACAATTGACACCTGTTTGTCTTGTTGTTCGGCTTCGCTGCCTCGAGTGGGTTGGAACTGTTAAGAGATTTCTCTCTACTTTTTTCTTATGGCCCATCGTTTGACGCTGGTCCATGTTCCGATTTTGGAACCCATTAGTAAGTATGCAGTACCTAGGTGCGTTGCATCTCAGCCTCGGCGTTTTGGGGTTTCTATCGTCGTATCTCATTAGGTAAACAGTGATCACTCAGTGTTCTGGTAAAAGAGTAGGCAAAAATTGACCCAAAAATTGCGGCCGCTTCCGTGACGTTCGCCTAGGAAAACCTTGCACGCTATCCAGACGACCCTATGAGTTTCCTATTCTTTTGGCATCCGGCCGATGATTGTCTTGGGTATCTTTTTTTCTAACTAAGCATGATGTGTGCCAAATATGCATATCAAAGCAGCCGGATTATTAGGCTTACGACGAATATGAAATAGTTAGATTGGGCTGTTCGCGTTTGACGGACACCCCATTGCGATTCCATAGGGCCTTTTATTGAATACCAACTGACGCGCTTACAGATTACTCATTCGATTCTGTCACTATACCATTTCACAGGCAAATTAGTGCATAATGCATTGAAGGAGGTTTGTAGGCCACTCAGAATAATTTGTTAATGATTCAAGTTGGTGTGTCCATGGACCCCCCATTGCATCACGGGTATTTGCGCGCGGACACCGTCGTTGTGTAACTGCTTCATTGATCAGCCGCCGTTAAGCAGTTGGACATGGGGTGTAGGTATTGGGAAAATGTAGGCATTTATGTGACACAGGGGGTGTAGGCCAGACACTCGTGAGCACGTCGTCCCCCGCGCGATGACGAATTGCTTGGGGGGAGGGTGAGAATGTTTACTCCTGAGGTCACCAATTGCTGGCTAAGATGGAGCAGGGCAGATGTGAAAGAACGAGTGTGGCGCTTACAACAGAGCCTGTGTTCGCATTCTGTCAAGGCCGGTAATCGGTGTCCCTGAGCCAGCTGTCTAGGCACTTGTTCGTGCAAACTGTTGCGTGCCTTAGACGCCTTACTTGCACGGGCCAACAGGCACGACATATGCGTTCCGCATAGAATGGTAAGGTCACAGTTGCCTATGATCCGACCGCCAACTCGCATGTGAACCAGTGCATGTCGCCAAACACACTGATGTGATGAACAGGGCGCAGTACCACTCAATAAATCCATAACACTTTTGTGTCACGACAGTTCACTAGACCATTCACGCGTAGTTACAGCCCAAAAGATACGCAGTAGTGTTTCACCTATCATGTCTTCCAACATACATTCAGTGAGAACTCACTCCAACATGCGCTGACTAATGGAAGTAGTTTAGCATGCTAAGCAGAAGGAATGGGTCCCTCATATTCATATCAGAACATCTATAGATCTGCGTTCGTCACTTGGCAATCATAGCTGCTGCATTTTGATTTTGGTCTCGTCGATGAATATACGCATCTTCCAACGTGCAATGCGGTCACAATTTTCCACAATACCAAAATAGACGGTATAATTATCCCATTATGTTCAACTTGCAGCCACTCTTTCACAAGCAGTAACAAAATGCTATAAGATCCAATAAGAACGAATGCGGAACGCGTAAAGCAACTAATTGTTTTCGATTTCTTCATCATGAGAAATATACTTTAAGAGAGCGCGAGAGCTTGAACGAAAGCAGATATTATCGTCACCAGACCAGCTGAAGTGTTGGGAACAGTGGTCATGGATCGCAAAGAATATGTGCAAAAGATGAAATCGATTCTCTCGGATACTTCAAGATTTATAAAGTGTGAACAAGGGAAGGATACAACAGAATATGCGGAAACACAACTAACCAAATGTTTGAGGTCACTACTGACTAATGGCTATATAACTAAAGAAAGGTTTGAAAAGCTAAAACCAATTGGCTATTATTTCAAGACTGTATGGTCTCACAAAAATACACAAACCGTGGACACCGCCGAGGCCGATACTATATATGAGGAACTCGCCGTATCACCACGTTGCAAAATGGCTACTATCTATACTGGACCCTATTATGAAAAGGATTGTCCCTCCTTCCAGTTTGTCGACAGTGTTAGAAACTTAAACATACTAGACTGCCGATCGTTATCACTAGACCTGGTGTCGCTATTCACCAGTGTCTCACTACTAAAGACAGTCAACTTTCTTTGTGTCTGTATTGAGCAACACAGTATGAGATTGGATATAACAACTGGTCCGTTGAAACAACTCTTGCTCAATTGCACGTACAACGTTCAATTTCTGTTCAGCAGTGAATTGTACAGACAAATAGGCGGAGTAGCAATGGGATCTTCTCTCGGTCCACTTTTGGCCGACGTCTACATGGGAACGTTGGAGGATGGCCCGTTGAAACCTGTTACTTCCACCTTCAGGTTCTACCGACTATACGTAAACGATAGTTTCCGCATAGTAGACCAGACGACCAAGATACAAGATGTCGTCAATTGTTTCAACAAGGCACATCCCAATGCCACATTCACAGTAGTCGAAGAAGAAATCAACACTTGTCTGCGTTTCTTGGATGCCTGCCTAAAGAGAAGATTTGATGGGTCATTCCAGTTGGCATTGTACAGGAACACATACTGGACGGGATAGTACACGCATTTCCTGAGTTTCGTACCTCAGTCGAAAACGAACACTGGTGCATACGTTGACTAACCGTGCACGCATGATTTGCAGCGGAGACACTGTTGCAAATGAATTGGGGCGAATCAATAACACTTGAAAATGTTTATCCAGAGCGCTTTATTGACATCCATGTGAAGCCCAACGACCCGAGACCCATCGTAAAAATGGCTGAGAAGAAACAGCTATTCCTCAAAGTTCTCCTTTAAAGGTGACCAAGCAGCAGAGGTATGTTCGTGAACATTGGTACAGTCCTGTGGAAAGACCTTCAACACAGCGCACCTCAATGTGATCTATACGAGCGAATCGCTAGTTGTCCCTAGATTCAGAGACAAAGTGCCTGGCTAACTCCAGTCAGTGGGGATCCACCGGTTCACCTGCTCCTGTGGAGTTAGGTACATCGGACGCACGATCAGGCACTTAGAAAAGCGCATCAAGGAACACCTACCGAATTCGCTCATTAGCCACAAAGACCGAATTAATTTGAGTGCCATAACTAACCACCTGCTCAGTACAGGGCACCATGTTAACAAGCGTAATGCGTTCGAAATTCTATACAATGTACCATCCCACTTGACTCTTCGGCTAACAACTAAGATACTAGCTACCGCTGAAGCGCTCGGCGTAAGATTGACAAGACCAAGCCTCTGCATTCAACCGAAACTCGTTCGCGCATTACTACTCCAGATTTGACCCAACAACGTCACGTGCCCTCTCTCACCTGATTACGCGACGAACATCATCAAAGCTTTTTACTGTTATCTAATCAATGTTTTACTTCTGTATACTGTTCCTACGAATTTGATTTTAGAGTATATTTCTGTGATACGCCTGATGATGAAGCAATCGAAAACAATTGTTTGCTTCACTCGTTCCGCATGCGTTTCTCCCGAATCTGGTAACTAAAAATGTGTGTTACATGAACATGCTATAAATAGCAAGTTTGACCCTATGCGATCTCGATGCCATCGTCGAATACTGCTTCGCAAGACTGTGATATCCGTAGCATGGATATGATGTTGTGTACTGCAAGATATTTATTGAGAGGCATGTAGTTTACCGCACTTCCTTATGCTTTGGGGTAGTTTGTTCCAAAGTTTGGAGTAGGCAGTGAGAAAAAGGTTCTCTTTTATTCTTATTTTCCTCCTTGAAATTATGACCTTGCAACTTACATTACGTATTGAATATCAGTCATTCTGCCTCATGAACAACTCGACCCCTCCGGTATGAGCACTGTTGCGTGTGATTTTGAACAAAAAAAAACATGTTTAATGTCATTCTTCGCGGCGAAGTGCGTTACAGTCCAAGGATAGTACAGCGCTTACTATAAGTCAGTTTTGTAGAGCAAACATTATCCTTCTAGTAAACCGGCGTACATTTCACCCAACAGCCATTTTGTCCAACTTTCGCATGCTTGTGCTCACTAATGAGCGATATCAGATGTTTGACAGTGCGTATGGCTTGTACAGCCAGAGCCGGGAATCACGGAGTGTGACAGCTCCCAAACATGTTATTCAGCACTTGACCGATTAGTACTGGCTGTCTATCGTTTTGGGCTATGCTTTGCTCCATCGAAACGCAAAGTCCTTCTCCAAGATTGGCAGGGACGCAACCCTGCGCTAACAGTTTGTGGTGATCTGCTAGAAGTCGTTCAGGAATTCAACTACCTGAGCAGCTATATTAGCGCCCGTCGGATTGAAGAGGAGGTTACGAACCGTATAGCAAAAGGTCGAGGTGCTTTTGCTAATCTCCGCCACCTGTGGCACAAACGTGACATTTCTCTCGACCTGAAGGGCAGAGTTTATAACGCAGCCGTCCGTTCAACCCTCTTATACGGTTGTGACACCTGGCCCATCAGGTTGACAGACATAAAGTGGCTCGTCACGTTCGATCATCGCTGCTTTCGCAGCTTGGCTCAAGTCTGATGGGAGCACCGCGTGAGCAATCAGCGTATTTGGTGCAGGAAGAACGAGTGAACCGCTCAGCACCATTATATCACCCACCAGGCTCGGATGCATGGACCACGTGTTGCGCATGCCAGCCCACCGACTCCCACGACCTGCATTGTTTGCGCGTTGTGGGTACGTTTGGAAGAGGAGAAGGGGAGGCCAAGCGATGACTTGGTCGAGTGAGGTGAAAACCCTCACTTTGAGGTTGGCGTCGGTTGGTGCATCCCGACTGCCTGGCTGGGGTCCTAATGACGGTGAACACATTTGGTTGGACACACTTGCTGATACGGATAGGAGCCGGCCCCAATGGCGTTTGTGTTGTGAGTTCCTTTGTCCACCCCTCCTCCTGCTTAGCATCCTCCTGCAATCACGATCTCACTCGTTAGGCATAATATAATTCCATTTTTACTGTTCGATAGCCAGCGGTTATCTCTCCGGGACGATGTCCATCCG